GATATCTCCATTTAAAACTAAGATATCTCTATTTATGATTAAATGACAACTCGGCTCGCCATAGATGACGATACCTTTGATCTCGTCATGTGTACATCCCTTAGATGAGATGATTAGATGACGAGATCATGGATCTCGTCATGTGTACATCCCTTAGATGAGATGATTATATGACGAGATCCTGCATCTAGTCATGTGTACATCCTTTAGAAAAGATGATTAGATGACGATACCTTAATTGATCTCGTCATGTGTACATCCCTTAGATGAGATGATTAGATGACGAGATCATGGATCTCGTCATGTGTACATCCCTTAGATGAGATGATTAGATGACGAGATCATGGATCTCGTCATGTGTACATCCCTTAGAAGAGATGATTAGATAAATATGTACATCCTTTAGAAGAGATGATTAGATGACGAGATCCTGGATCTCGTTATGTGTACATACTTTAGAAGGGGTGTCTAGAAAAATAAGACATAAGATAATCAAAATACCTCATGATATGTTACAACCCATCATTAAAAATCATTATGTATTCATCTGTCCGTCTGTTAGCTAAGCAATTAAGTGTCATACTCCACTCAAAATGAATATCCGAACCTAATGTTAGTACAAATTTGACCGTGTGACAAGAACGTTTATTTGTCAAACATTGTGTCACAAGACTTGACCAATAAGCAAACAACTTTGAACTGTATACAGCTTGACTCTTAATTGTATACTAGATCATGCTTTTGTAAGCATGTATTTTGGATTGCAGAGAATTTGATTTCATTTAGTAAATGGTTCAAAATCAAAAAGAATTATTTCTTAGATTCGGAATTACTCTCATTCATCCAGCTGTGATTCCCATCCGATAGAAGAATTTTGAAATGTAGCGAAGTTAGAAAGGTAAGAGTCACCAGAGGGCCCTAGGCCCATATATATCTTAGCAATTGCTGGTGTAGAGTTCAGTTCCATTTTTATTCATTCGTGTCTCTATTTCTATAGGCGTAATTGTATATTTTGAAAGGACACACGTTAGAAAGCATAATGTAGGCCTATCTTCGTGTTTGTAGAAATAGTAATTACCGAATTATAATTCTTGAACCACCGAGAAATTATTCTCTTCACTGTATTATGTCCCATCCGTGACAAAACAATATATTTTTCCGACAGGTTGTCATGCCCCACCCCACTGGCACGCACCCCACCACTGTCTTTTTTTTTTTCTTTTTATTTATTTAGGCACACAACAATGTACGGTACGATTGCCAATAGCAAACATATCACTGTCCTATTTGTAGGGTACAAACCCTTTCAAACTGAGAAAAACATACACACATAATGATTTACACAAATTAAATCTCAATATGAGGCTTACAGAGTGCACTGTTGTTTAACAACAATGTAATTAACAACTTTAATTTTCTTGTTGCTGTGTGTTTTGTTATTTTATTCATTGGGTTTTTCGTTACATGCTAGACACCTATGCAAGTTGGTCAATCGATAAACAGAACAATTACACTCCACAGCAGCAACATACAAGAAAGCCACCCACGAACCATAAACTTTTTTAACATCAAAGTTATTAAAGAAATGGTTATTGAAATAATTTAAGAGTTTAATTATTAAAAGAACTAAAACTGCAACGGCGGCGGAACGTTTCTGAAAGTGGGGGGGGGGGCATTTCATAAGGTCTGCGAGCGAAGAACATCTAGGCTGGGGCCATGAGGCCTCCAAGGCCACCGAGCTACAGGTATTTTACGAAGTATCTGGTGAATTTTATAAGTTATTTTATAGGCATCAAACTACTGTAATATGACTTCATATTTGTTGTAATTTCCAGTGGCGGATCCAGGAATTCAAAATAGAAGGGCCCAGTGAGGTTACCGTACTTTCTCAGATAGGAGATCTATACAACCTCAGCCCCACCATGGTTGGGGCCGAGGCTTGAAATTTGTGATTATGGCACCTCTAGATGGCCGGAAATTGCCCTTCCAGACAGAAAATTTGAATATAATTATCTTTTATATCTCCATTTTTTTTTAAACAAATTGGGTGGTCTTGGGTGGGGGGGGGGGGCTTGCTGGCTGGGTCCCTTGAATTCGCCACTGGGGACTTTAGCA